CGTTTATAATCCGTCCGAGACAACCTCTGCATCTTCCATCCGAGCAAGGTCGTATTACGTTTGGACCCGACCTTTATTCCGAAAGTCAACTCGTGGTTCTACAGGTCCCGAGAAATCACTCTCCCTGTCATGGCTCCTTCACTTAATAACCAAGAAAGAAACCACTCAACTCCATGTTTCAGAATTAAGTGTACTTTTACTGATTATAAACGATGAGAAGCAAAGCAAAGTTGGATCTGAGTAAAAGAGCGCGAAAGCAATAGATATCAATACATGATTCATCCCCCTCCTCTTGGTACCCCAGTCCATAGTCCAATCATAATTCACCCAACTGTCAGGTGGGAGACATCTTCAAAAATCATCAGGTTGGAATGCTGGACAGTTGGCCTCGGCGGGAAACTCCCCTCCTTCCACATGCGCAAACAGATGGTGAGAACAACCCCCAATTAACAGTCTTCCTGCACAGAATATTTCCCTCCCCCAAATACCATGCCCTTCCTTCCCGTTTCAGTGGCAGCCGAAAAGCAAGTGGCAAAACAGAGGCTGCCAATAGCTCCTCTGAGAAAAAAACCCTCCACTCTTATACTTCTGGCCAAATTTATGTTAAAAGTAGTGATTAAAGGCTACTAAGAAAAGATTCATGAACAGAATGAAAACAGTTTGTTGATTATACTGAATATGATCTAGAGGAGTTAATATTTTTAAAAATAGTTTTAAAACGGGGAGAGGGATTGTAATCCATAGATACCTAAGTTATTGTATCATTGATACAAATGATGTTGATGTAATTGAAGAACAAATGGGTGTTGGGACACTTGTAGCAATTTACCAACCCAGGACATTTCAGGAAATAGGCTCTGAATGTGTTGCAATACTGTACTTCCCACCTTTAGTTCAGATTTGGCCGTATTTTGCAGACAAAGAAGAAAATATTCTATCTTGGTTTTCTTGACATATTTGTGCAGGTATGTGGAGGAACACATCCAACGTACTGGGGTTGCTATTGAGACTCAGGGCTTCACCTTCATCACCAGTGGAAAAAAGCGAGAATCTCTCACGGTGAGATGAGGCACTCATTTTTAATGTAACATTGTACATTATTTGTACCCTATGACTATCATTAAGAGTTGTACCTTATGATTCTTGACAACTGTATCTTGTCTTTTTATGTATACTGAGAGCATATGCACCAAAGACAAATTCCTTGTGTGCCCAATCACACTTGGCCAATAGAGAATTCTATTCTGTTCTGTTCTATTGCATGTATCACTGTTATGGCTATTGCTATTTAGCCAGTAAGACTTACCCTTATTCAGTATGCCAGGCACTGCCCTTCCTTCCAGGCAGTCAATTCTTCCTCTCCTCCAGTTTTGTTTTGCTTCGTTTTGTTTTCCTATCAACAGCCAATCAACATGCAACTATTGAATAGACTTACATAAAGATATATAAAAGTTTCTCTCCCCACCCTCTACATTTCTCTCCCCCTAAAAAAAGCTTAGGTTTCTCAAACCTGCTGATGTTTTCTTCCTGTGCATGGGTACTGCAGATTTAGTTGGGGAGCTATAATTCTAGCAGTCTTAATCACAATAAGCCAATAAGCAATGATAAAGAATGCAGAAACTTATGTTTCACAACATTTGGAGGGCCACACATTTCTCACCACGTAGACCAGTGATGGCTAACCTTTTTGTTGCCGCATGCTGAAAGCACGTGCACACACCTACCCATAATGCAATGCACACACAACCCCCCCCCCAATGCGGCTTGCCCCTGCACACATGCGTGCATGACTCCCACATGCAGCCTGTGCATGTGAGCATGACACACACACCGCATGAGTGCATGACGCATACGCCCCCGCACCCCGATGCATGCATGGCAAAGACCCGAAAACCAGCTTGTCGGCAGGAGGCACACGCGCATGTGCAGTAGAACTGAGCTGGGGTGATGGCTCACATGCCCGCTGAGAGGGCTCTGCGTACCACTTGTGACATTCCTGCCATAGGTTCGCATCACAGACCTAGACTATGCAGTGAGTTTGCTGGTGGTTTGGAGCAAGCATATGACTTAGCTTCTAGGGTCACATGTTATTCAGATGTTTGGACTTTCAAACATTACTTCAGACAGGCATATTTTATGTATCCAAAGAGGAAAATGCATGAGAAACAACAGCATTAATATTTAATTAATGCAATTGTAATATTGCACTTATTTTTCTCCTGGGCCCATCTAGCCTTTGATCATACACACTGACATCTCACATAAAAGATCAAAGGCAACCTTCAGCCTTGAAATAGTCATGCACATTTGCTAAATAGAACTTGTCTAATGACTTTAAAAGCTATCTGCTGTAGCCATAATAATATCATGTATGCTAAAGCCTTCTTTTTCTCCACTCCTTTTCTGCAGGGCAATGCTACACTCCACCTCTATCCTCATTTTCAGATTTTGCAAAACTTCAAAGGTTAGTTGCAGCCTGAAGATAAATCAGTAGTTGGCTTTTAATTCAGAACAGTGTTGTGTGGCCTGAATAAGTATCGCCCTTGATCAGAAAGCTGACATTTAAAAGTTGTGGTAATTGATCATTGGCATCTTGCCTGTAATAATTCATATCGGTAATGAAATTTGAAGTATGGTGTCTGGTTTAAGGATTATTAGAAGGAAAATATTCTTTGTTATCTGCTAATGGCAAGAAGTTGCTAGCAAATTTTTAACATTCTGCTCTTTATCATTCATTTAGGAGTGCCAGAATATCTGAGTACTGAGATTTGTACCTCCAAGCAGAAACAATTTTCTCTGATCACTTTTCTTGATACACCAGGCTTGGTGGATGGTGATATGAAATACCCTTTTGATGTGGAGGGAGCACTGATCTGGTTTGGTTAGTATAGCTTCAGGAGCAGCCTTGGTTCCTGAAGGAGGATTCTATTAAATTGGAGCCTGGCCTCAGGAAGTCTTGAAAACACATTTGTTTCCCAAGTCATCCTAGCCCTCAAAATGAAATAGATGTGCCTGAGAAATGTTGAAACTGAAGAAGGATTCATATAGGTAACCCAGGAATGGTTTCAGTCTTAGGAAAAATCCTTGAGAGAACCATTTTGGGTTCTACAGGCATGGTAATGGGAGAAAAGATTTTAGGACAGGGCATTTTCTATTGTAGTAGTTCTCAGCTTGAAAGAAATTGTTTACTGATTTATTATTTTCATAAGAATTTTCTCCCCATGTTATATAGCACCCTAAGTCCTTCCCTTGTAATCCTGTTCAGGCCAACTCTGCGATCTCATCCTGGTCTTCTTTGATCCCATGGGGCAGGCCCTTTGCAAACGTACCTTAAATATAGTGGAGAAGATCAATGAAGAGCATGGAGACAAGTTACGCTTTTATCTGAGCAAAGCTGATGAGGCAGGCGCTGAGGGTGACCGACAGGTAGAAAGTCTCCCATGGATAATGGGATGGGGAATGGCCATCTCATGGAACAGAAGGAATTAAGAATGGCAGTTTGTAAAATTATATGTGTGTGTGTGATCTTTTTCTTTTTGTCTGACAGAGAGTGTTGATGCAAATCGTTCAAGAACTTTGTAAACGCCCTGGCCTCAATAAATGTGGGTTTGACATGCCTACAATTTATATTCCCAGCCCCAGTAAGGTGAGTGACAAGTTTGAATTTATTTTAGATGTAACATTGAAGCAGAAGCCATGATTAATCCAGACTTCTGGAAGGATGGGTGAGCCTTGGGATAGATGGAAGAGAAAAGCTTGTTGGTCAGCGCCTTATGAGGATGTGGAACAAATTGGGACTGAAAATAGAATGCTGATAGATTCTCTGCAAAATGGTGAAATGGGTTTTGCACTCACCCTTAGCCGATTCGGTGCGTTAATCAGATTGAGGAGGTCTGTCGCACAATTGAGAAGACCATCAGCCAGACTGTGCAGCATACACTCAATGCCTTGGAAAGGGATTGCCAGCTCATAGAAGAGGCCACACAGCGTTTGCTAGAGGATGACAAGTAAGAACATAGCATTGTGGGAGTGAAAGACGTGACATCTGAGAGGTCCTACCATTTACAACAAAAGAGGGATGGAATATCAGATCCCACGTAGAAAACTGGGTGTGTGAATTTGTATATAAGATGGCAAATTAAGTCACCTTGTGATGAGATGGGTGGCAAATTTAATTAATTAATTAATATAATAAATTGACAAACTGAGTGGAAAATTCTGAGTTAACAACTGTTGAGAGATAAATAAAAGATTGCTGTGGAAGGAAATTGAGTAGAAAGTGAATAGAAAATGTACTGAAAGCATGCTGTTAAGCCGTTAGCTTGACCTATTTCAAAGGATTGTTGTGTAATTTACAGCACAGTCTTGCTCACATTTACTTGGAAATAAATCCCACAGAAATGGAGCATTATAAGTGCCTTGAATTGTAATGTAGACTTATCTAGACTCCTTTAAGGGAAGGCTGGTTACATATACAACTATTTCAAATATAATTGGGACTGGAAGGTTTTGGCTGCTGACCTTCACTTTAAAAGGGGTGAGAAGATTACAGTTAGAGGGGGAAAAGTCCTAGAAAATTAATATCTGGGAGAGTTCTGAAGATACGTAGGTTATTTCTAGGGCTGTGATGGTGAACCTATGGTACGTGGAGCCATATTTGCCAGCATGGCACCCCTCAGCTCTGGCACGCATGCGTGCACCAGCCAGCTGATTTTTGGCCTTCCAGAGGGCTGGGGGAGGCCGTTTTTGCCCTCCCCAGGCTCCAGGAAAGCTTCTGGAGCAGGAGGAGGGCAAAAAATGGCCCAACAGGAAAACCGAAAGTTCATTCCCTGGGGAGGGCGAAAAAGAGGCCCAATGGGTCCACTAGATTTTTTTGGGTCTTCCCAGGCTATAGGAAAGCCTCTGGAGCCTGAGGAGGGCGAAAATCCCCCCCCCCCCCGAAGGGGTGTTGCACACACATGCACAGGGTGGGTTGCACACCCATGCTTGGTTGACGCCCACAATTTTGGCACACCTTTAGAAAAAGGTTAGCCATCACTGTTCTAGGGGAATGCAGGGATTTAATGCTATTCAGCTAAATTTCTTCCCGAATCCTATATGCTGATTTTGCTTTTACGCTTTTTCTGTTACTCAGGGAGGCCAGAAACAGCAACTTCCGTGCTTTCTTCCGCGGGGTGTTTCTGGGCCTAGCAGGTTGCCTACTGCCTATTTTTCTTCTTCTGACATTGATATTTGGTACAACATTTGCTCGCCAACTGTGGACCTTGGTCCTGGGGGAGAAGCAAAGCCAGGCCCTGGAACTATACATAGTAAGTACTTTGGTATCTCTTCCCTAGAGTCCTGAAAGCATCCTTTTCTCACTTTATAAGTACCCTTCAAGTAAGCCTTCTTCTACTTTGCATAGAAAAAATGGTGCAGGACATTGGATTCCATAACATCAGAGTCTCAGCTTTCATGCCTTGAGGGTGTGGGACACAGGTTTTTCTAGCCTCACATCCACAAAGCAACACAAACTGATGGGTAGGATTTTAAAACATGCAGCTTCTAAAAACTGCAGAACAAGAGAGAGAGAGAAAACAGCACAAAATCTAAGGAATATATGTTATCCATTGATAATTAAGAATGGTCCACTATTGCAAAATTCAGAATCCTGGATATTTTTTTCTTTTTTTCTTTCTATCTTTTTCCCCAGAAGAAATATGTAATAATCAAGTTTCTAATTCTTATACCAGTAGAAATAAAATGTCTAAAGCCTGCTGTAAGTAGAACAGACGATAACCTAAAGGAAGGGTGCCAAATTCAAGGCCCACAGGCCGGATCCAGCCAGTGATGTGATTGGATCCAGCCCACAGGATCATCCTGGTCTACCCAGTGTGAAGAGGAAAGATCAGGCCAATGTAGCTTCAGCCCGGACTACCCAGTGCAAAGAGGAAGTATGCCAGCAGTTTGGAGAGTGGTGTCAAGCTGGTCACACCAGTGATGGGTTGCAGGCAGTACGCCCCAGTACGGGCATACCGGAGCTTGCCCGGAGCACCGGGTACCATTCCGGTACGATGCTCCTGAGGGCCCACCCACCGCCCAAGCTCCTTACCTGTCCTTGAAAGCTTTTGGTACTTCCACGCATCTGCATGGCGCGTAGTGCCTGCATGACACTCTGCCAAGCATCTTGAAGCTTGCGGAGGCATCGCTGGTAGGTACGACACATGCACACGGCGCATGCTGCGCACGTCCATGTGGGCAGCGCCAGGCCTGTTGCAACCATACCGGTTGGAACAGGATCCAGAACCCACCACTGGATCATACCCACTTAGTTGACCGCACACACACAGTTGGCCATGCCCACCCGGCCCCCTAAGGTCAGCCACAGCCCTAATGTAGCCCTCAATGAAATTGACACCCTTGGCCTAGAGTAATAGGATAAAAGTCACGTGACTCTGGTGATGCTATGACGTTTGAAAAATGGTCATAAATCATTTTTTCAGTGCCGTTGTAACTTCGAATGGTTGCTAAACAAACTCTTGTAAATCGAGGATTATCTATACATTATTGCCATAGAATTTACATGTTGTTGTAAGAAATGTATTTTTATATTATTATTTTCTTAAAAGTGGCTACACTTATATTTTCCTCAGCTAACATCGAGTATGCCATTTATTCTTCTAATTTTTAGCAGCCGGTTGCATCAGTCTGGAAGTTTGTCCCTGAAGATCAAACCTTAACAGTATTTTTTGGTCTTCTCTTCCTCTCGATCCTCTTCCTACTCTTGGCCAGCTACACTCTCAGGTAAGAGCATTCCTGTTTACCAGGAACGGCTGTTTACTGCACTTCTTATAATGTTCATTTGTATCTCTTGCCCCACTTAGAATGAAGCCCACTCTCTCCAGAAAGCAAAAGCGGCAGCTGGAAGATCGACGGGATTACGTGTTGGATGTGGTCTTGGCTAAGAAGGTTAATGCTTTAGCAACTTGTATAGGGTGGTTTGAAGTTGTGCCATGAGGCCTGGTACTTATTTTGTAGGACCTAAATGGAGAGGGACATGAATCCTGTTTAGATTCTGTGGGGGCTTGAAAGGGATTGACGAGCATAGCAAAAATTTTAAAATTGCTGTTTTTCTGCAGAGAAAGCTCTATGAGGAATACCTTCGACAGAGCATTGGTGAACAGGACTTGAGCTGAAACTGGCCTATTCTGAAGAGATTCCATGCCCCTCTTCTGCCCCCCTCCTGCCCCCCATCAATACCCAGAAAAGAGCATTTACAATGGCAAGCCGTCAAAAATCTAATTGATCCAATCCAGTTGCCATCTCTCTCACACCAGCTGGATAGGGATGGCATCCTGGGCCCTTTTGAACTGTGACTAACCATACCTCTAATGTCCTACATCGGAAAGGATTGATTTACTGGTTATATTTTTTGCTAATCTGTTTGCTGCCTGTGGATAGAAAGATGTTTTTCAGACTTATGAGGGGACTGTAGCGGTAAAGATCAAGTCTGCCTCCAGCTGACTTTAGGGATGGTAGAGCCTTGCCCGATGTGAAAATAGGCAACTTTATAAACCAGTGATCTGCTTTGTTGGCTCCTATCATGATGGGCAGAATGTATTTGCACCAAGATGTAATGGGCACCATTTCTGGATTGCTGCCTTAGTCGTTCAGTGACCTAAAGCGACAGTTCACATAAGCTTATGCTAAATGTAGCATAATTTTATTTGTCATTTGTAGAATACCTCATATTTCTAAATGTACCAGCATGCTGCAGGCATGCAGATGACTGTATTTCCCTTCCATTTCATATGAGCAAGTGCCTTTATGTGACCATCTCTTGGGAGTGCAAGATGGGACATGGATCCCGGTAACAGTCTCTCATTGTTTGGTCATAGCCCAACCAATGCCAGTATAGTACTTAACACTGTGAGATTTCCCCAAACCTGCGACTTTCTAGGCTTTATAATTTATTCAGCATCCCCTGGAACACGCTGGGAACCCTAATCCAGCTTTTTCTCCAATGCCATGAAGTATAAGTTATGTTGAAAAGAAGCCACTGGCTTTTGGCCAGTTCAGCTCACTTGATCTCACTGCCCTGCCTTCATCAATTATTGTATACCAGAATTATCATGGCTGTATCTGGAAACAACATTTTGCTGACTCTTCTGAGATGCTGTGTATTAAGTCCTTCTGTAGTTAGACTTCAACTCCCATCAGCCTTAAGCAAAATAATGTAGCTCATCATGTTATAGAGGTGACAGAGTCAGAATTTTTAACAGGGTCCTTTATAAAAAGTGCAACCAAAAAAATTGAAACACATTAACTTCTGGCTTCAATTTGAGCAAAAATTTGCTATTTAGGGATAGGAAAACAGTTGACCCACATTAGCCTGACTCTGGTAACCCATTAAGATAATTTTGGTAGCTCTTTATTCTCTGTTCCATATCAAGTGGGGGTGGGGGGGATTGGTTTGCATTGTCTTTGCTTCTCTTCAAGCTCTCCTCCATCTTGTTTGCATGAGCTTCTGGAGAGTGGCAGAGATGAAGGCTAACAAACCAAGTTAAATATTTGCCAGAAGTTACTTAACATTTATTAGAATGCATCTCTTCTTGGGGCATCGAACTGACCTGAAATCAAAGGACTCACTTTTTATGCCTTGTGCACCAGCAAATACTGCCAAGGTACTTTGGGAGGGTAGAGGGAGGGATTTGCGTGTTTAATAAAAGCTTATTGTAAAACCTGCCTCAGTTTTCTTCCTTCTGCTCGCTGTGAAAGTCTGTGCTTCATTTCAAATAATTGCAAGAAAACAGTTAAGCTGGTTTTATTTAGCATGAAAAAACACAAATGTGCATCTTAAGGAACTAAAGATTGAACATAATATGTGTGTGTGTTATTCCCTCTATCCCAATATAGGTTTATCTTGACCCATTCTCCTGCCCACTCCCTCTTTTCCTAATTTATGTAAGGTTAACATTGCTACAAACTCATTTTTCCCCACACTATAAAGTTTACTCGTCTACTATCTTCATCCCTTTTTAAAGAGAAAAAATGGCTACAATTAATAAAAGCATTTATAGATGAATCAATACCTCCCTCAGCATAAGTTTCAAAATTATTTAAGACATCAAAATATACTGGTTTTGGGTTTGTTTTTTTTTTGAGTGGTGAGGAACATTGAAGGGAAAAAAAGTAAGCTTAGGACAACTATTTGCTTTTCCAAGCCTAAGTGTACAATCATTCCATATGCTTTTCCATGATTAAGGCAGTGGATTTTTTTTCCCCCTGATGGTTTTGGGGTGAATTGCAGCCTTCACTTTCACTCGCTCCTGATGTGAGCCATAAGACTATCTACCATCTTCCGTAATTCAAAGAACCGCCAAATTACATGGCGTCCATCCGTCAGTCTCCGTATCCTCGTCGACATTGCCATGGTGTCCAGAACCTGAATAGCAAACCAGATTCAGAGCTGGCGAGAGAGGAAAGAAAATGGTGAGTGACACTTCCTGGGGGCGTGGCCTGTTGCCGAGGAGGGCTCCACCGAGCTCCTCAGAGATCTGGTCTGTATATCTAAATAAGATCATAGATAGCACCCCTTTTTGGCTAAGAAAGGGGCAGGGAGGACTAGGGTCTATTCGTAAGCCACAGCCTTTTTCTTTTTTTTTGGCTGTGGAAAGAGATTAAATTCAACCGGAGCGGAGCTTCTATCCCCAGCCATTTCTTCTCAGCTGCCTTTTTTTTTTTGGGGCTGTGGAAGAGATTAGATCCAGCCCAAGCGGAGCTTTTATCTCCGGCCAGTTCTTCTCAGCTGCCTTTTTTTTTTTGGGGCTGTGGAAGAGATTAGATCCAGCCCAAGCGGAGCTTTTATCTCCGGCCAGTTCTTCTCAGCTGC